TACTGAAATTCCATAAAAATTATACATTATAAAACTTTATATTTTTATGGAATTTTTATATCAAATTTTTTATTGGGCAATCTATATCTTAAGACTGATATTTTTCTTCTTGTAAATATCTGAATAGAGTTTCTAAAAATATGTATGCAATATTATAAACTTGATCACAGCACTATGTTTTAATATTATTATTGTCTTGGAATGCTATACTTAAGATAATAAGAATTAAGATTGAACATTTTACAAAAATAACTATATATGACTTTATTGAAAAAGCCAAAAAGGTGAAATATCTATGATATACTAATAATATTTCAAGGCTAACAATTCTAAAATAGATAAGGTATTCAACTCATCTAAACTTACATTATAGATTTTATATATAGATGTAACAAATCTTTACAGCTGAATTATGAATTAATACTTGCTTATTAAAAACTATAAATAAAAAGCAAATCTAATAAAGAATTCAAAGGCACATTTCTCTTTAAAAACTCATGACTATTTACAAGACTTAATATCTATAGCTATAAGAAAAAATATGCTATATTTTTATACTACTAAATTTATAAATAAGATGGATGGAAAATGCTTTATAGTTACAGAAAAATTAGTTTTTCATCTTAAATCACAAAAGGATTATATTATCTATTATTAAGAACTTCAATATTATATAAATTAGATATGATAATAGATAATATTACAGAAATTCTATCATTTAATTAGACTAACTGACTTGTATCATATATTGTATTTAATACTGATAAGAGGCTAAAAATACTTTTAAGAAAAATTTCTTCAAATTTATGAATAACTCAGTATATGGTAAGACTATAAAAAACATTTAAAAATATCAGGATGTTAAGCTTATAAAGATGAACAATGAAAGGGATAAGAAAAAATTTATAAATAAAGTTTATAAATTATACTTCAAATATAATAAACAACTTGAAAATACATTTGTAAAAATGCATATAAAAAAGGCTAGTGTGATTCTTAATAAATTTATAATAGTTAGTGTATTTGTCTTAAATTTTAGTAAACTTTATATGTATAAATTTTAGTATAGATATATAAAAGAAAATATGAAGACAAAATTCATCTTAGATATATAAATACAGATTCTTTTATATATTAAGTTAAAATTAAGAATATCTATAAAGATATGACTAAATGATCTGATCTCTTTAATTTTAGTGAGAATTCAACTATTGGTAAATTTAAGAATAAGATATTTAATAATATAATCACAGAGTTTTATATTTAAGATAAATCTGATCACTATATCTTAGTTGATAAAATCACAATGTTTAAGCATAAGAGAGTTAGTGAAAAAGGTATAAGTAAAATGATTGAAAAAATATATTCAAAGAATGAGTTTCCTATAATTCAAGTATATCAGGATTGTTTTTTCAGAAAAAAAGTATTCTATGTTAAGAATATAAGAATTTGATAAAAGAATCACATATTATCTCTAGTCAAATTTGAGAAAAAGACCTTATACTCTATAAATATTAAGCATTGAATATTAACAAATAGAGTTATATTTTTGTTATATGACTATTAACATATCATGATGATAAAATATAGTTAAAGATAATATATTTTATGAAGTAACTGAAAAAAAAGCTATAAAAGCTAAGCTTTTAGAAAAGTACTTAAATAAATATATTTTTTTCTTGCAATGTTTGTGATACTCTAATTCTAAATCTGATCTATATAGAAAATATGATAGTTGATGCTATGTGATCCAAAATTTTAATAGGTTTTAGTAAAAGACTTTAAGTACTTATCTAGAGGTTTGATAGGTTAATCTTTTTCAAAAAATTTATATTTAACTCATATTTATTTTACATTTTGATGAAACTTTGTGATCCTAAATTTACATAAAAAGATTGGCTTTAAAATAATTTTTATATATTATGAAATTACTGGTATGCTAAAATTTGAATTATAGTTTTTTGTTTTACTTTTTATATATCATATTAAAAATTTACACTTAATTCAAAAAAATATACTTATGCCTGAAAAATTTTACATTTAACCCAAATTTTTGTCTTAGTGTTTATGAAAATGAATCAGTTTTAAAATGCTTTATTATATATTAAATTATTGATATATTATTTTAAGAGCTATAGCTTTTAAACTTTATCATTTATATATAAAATTTTAACCTTTATTTACGTTAATAAATCACTTTTAAAATTAATTCTAGAATATCACAAAAATTAGTATACAAAAAGGATTTATAGAGACTCTACAAGTTTAATTTTAAACACTTCAATTTTTGCTAAGCTTGCGTCATCTTAAGTTTAAACTGAATGATATATTTTTTTATAATATTCTGATTGAATTTTAAATCAGGTTAGAAATGAATTTAATCAATATATTTTTTAGATTTAAAAGCTTTTAAAATTAATTCCTGCATTGATATAGTTCTTAAGTTTGAAAAACCTTTAAAATCAATTTTTAAGTAATTATAAAAATTAAGATTCTAGAACTACTTTAAGCTATTTTAGTATAATAAATAAAATTGATATAATTCTTAAGTTTGAAAAGCCTCTAAAATTGATTCCCAAAATTTTATTTCAAAAAAAAATCATTATAGTTTTTAAGTTTGAAGAGTTTCTAAAATCAATTTCTGAAAACTATTTTAGAACTTCCAAAGTATTCTATATATATAATTATCAAAGAAAAATTTAAAACCTACTAAATTAAAATTAATGACTGAATTAACAGATTTATCAAATAAAACAGTAATAATTACAAAAGCAATTAGATTACAAAATAATACTTTAAATAGAAAATTATTTAAATGCTAATGTCTTAATACACTAATTCTAATTATAATACAATAAAATATTTTTGTAAAAAGAAAATTTAGCTTAAAGTGACAAATATTATCCTGTCAAAATCCTGGAATTTATTCTTTATAATAGTAAAAAGAATAATGATAATAATTAAATTTGCAAATAGCTTTTATATTTTAATTAAATTCGCATAAATTATTATTTTAATTATTTAGTAAATTTAACAATGTTTTAAATTTATAAAGTAAAAAATATTATATAAATAGTAAATAATTTTCATTATTTTTAAATTTAAATTTAAATTTATTGGATATAAAATATTTATTTTTTAATTTATACAACTAAAAAAATAACATTTGATTTTATAATTTTAAAATTTAAATTATATAAAGATTAAATTAGAGAAAAGTTAACTTGAAACATCACATTTCATCTCAATTTTAAATTTGGACAATAGTCACTGCATTCTTAGTTTCCAATTTATCCCATTTTAAATTGAGACAATAGTCAACTTGTGTACTTTCCCAGTTTCAAATTTTAAATTAGGGCAATAGTCAACTTGGAGCACTGCATTCTCAGTTTCTAATTTGCCCTAATTTTAAATTGGAGCAATAGTCAACTTAGGGCACCGCGTTCCCAATTGTCTCAATTTAAAATTGGGGCAATAGCCAACTTGGGGTACCGCGTTTCCAGTTTCTAATCTGCCCCAATTTTAAATTGGGGCAATAGTCAACTTAGGTATCAATTTCCAATTTATTCCAATTGTAAATTAAGGCAATTGTCAACTTGGGGTACCGCATGTTCCAGTTTCCAATTTGTTCCAATTTTAAATTGGGGCAATAGTCAAGTTGGGGCACCGCATGTCTCAATTATCAATTTGCCCTAATTTTAAATTGGGGCAGCAAAATCGCATTGCCCAAATTTGAAATTTCAAGTTGGATTGCCCGAAATCGAAATTTGCATTTGGGACAGATCATTAACTTTGGGCACAACACATGAATCTGTAAAATCAGCGACATAAAAAATAATAAGTTCACCACATCGCTGGAATACAATTTTTAATTGTATTTCGCATAATAGCATGTCTGAAAGTGCTAATTTAATGCCATTCGTCTGTAAATTGTTAGGTACTCATTCAAATCCACAACATTTTGAAACGGAGGAGAAACTTAGAAACCATATTATTCAACATGACATCAATTCTTGCAAAAGATCAATTTCAGGAGATCTAATTTATATATGTTCGTGGAAAGGTTGCTATAAATATCAAAGTAGTATTATTGAACTAAAAGGTATAAAAATATGTCAAGCACTTTTTAGCTTTGCTTGCTCCATTCTGTAGTAATAACAATTATTATTGTATTTTGCAGAGCATTTACTTCAATACACCCAACAAAAACCATTCAAGGTAATTAATATTTACCTGTTTAATAAGTACAAGGGTGACTGAAATAATTGCGTTGACCATTTTTCTTAGTGCCCAATTTGCAATCGTTTGCGATTTTGTTCTCCTGATGCACTTAGTCAACACTTGATTATGAATCATAAAGAAAGCGTTGTGGACTTTGATACCGATGATGAAAATGAAAAATTGAATTTAGGTATGTTGCCACAATTCTCTCCAATCTAGCGTGGATTGTAATTAGAATTTACATCGAAGATGAGCTAAACCACGTATCTTTAATTAATAACAAATATTATCAAACTATTAAAAAACTATCCTTGTTAAATATACATGATCAATTATATTTTCTCTTGTCCTAACATATTTTCTTTTCTATTTAAAGGAAAAGTCAAAGATAAAAACGATGTTTGTGAGAAGAAAGAGGTCAGCAAAGATGAAAAAAGTGAAATAATACCAATAATTAATACCAAAAAATTATCTTATCGTGATGTTCTTGTTAAAGGAAGAGTCAATGAAAATAAAAACACGGAGAATGAACATGAAAAGGTCGTGGTCGATTTATCTTATCAAGATGTTCTCATTAAAGGAAGAGTCAATGAAATAAAAACATGGAGAATCTTAATTCTTACGAACGTGAAAAGATCATGTGGGATTTAATAGATAAAGGGTTCGAAATTATCTCATTATTACCGGAGAGCCCAATTAGTGAATATAATTATGATAATGACGATAATTTACCCATTGCGCCACGTGGGGAGAAAAAATTGACTGAGATCGAAGCGGACGAATTTACGTTGAAGGCAATTTGTAGATTTTACAAAGATTCAGAAGCTGGCGAATATTTTACTAAAGCCTTAGAAATGATGGAAGACAAATCTTGAGCATGGATATGTTATTATTTGGTCACATTTACAGCAGTAATCCTTAAATATTTCCTTCAATAATTTAAAATTTTATAAATTTATTACGTTGAGGTGTTAAGAACTAGCAAACATGAAATAGAGATAAAATATAAACATTAGTTTCATCCATAAAACCATCTCACGCATTTTTCAAATGCTCCCGAAAATCTTTTGGATGATCGGGAGCTATCTGCGATAACCCGAGGGCTCTATGCACTGCTCATAAAGTTGTTTTGCAGTTGTTCTCTTTAGTTCATCTTTATGGATTCTTTTATTTCGACGCGCTTTATATCGAACAAATACAGTTAAATCTTGTAAGCTCGTTCCCTCACTTCTAAGTACATCAGCAAGTCTTTTCCTAATATCTTCGACTTTAGATACTTGACCATACAAATGATAAAAGCTCTCGAATTTTCTATCATCTGATAACCCATTATTGTAGCGTTCTAGTACGATAATGTACCATTCGCCGATAGTATGGCAAATATCGTTTATGGCTTCGAATCCTTTCTCGCCAGAACAAGGACCTAGCGATAATTAAGTTTAAGTTTAACGTAGCTAAGTATCTAGCTAATTGCCCGGGTCCACAAATCTTGAGAAAGATCGGAATATTTGATGGACGAACCTTGAACCTTATACCATGTAACAGTGTCAACTTGATCGATTTGAATACTGTCGTTTCTTTCAATAATTACACGGCCACATATGATAATTATACTTTGGCCGTGGAGTAATTTGCAACAGCAAAAGTTTAATTATCTGAACCGATAATTATAACGTAACTTCACGGGCTATCGCCGATAACTCCACAGTTACTATGAGCATTGCAATGATTGGTGGATTTTGCCACTTCGTGGCTTACCGTGAACTGTGAAGTAATCTCTGATAACCCGTTGAAGTTACTATCAATACATTCACCGTTTGTTTTTTTTGATAAAATCTCGCCATTTAATAATAAAAAAAAGGTATAGAATAATTTATCAATAAAAATGGATCACAGTAACAGACTGTATTTATAAAAAGACCTTTTTTTTTTTTGATGATACGTTGATCATCAATCCCAATTCGATTATTGGACCATATAAAAGTAGTAAAATGATTTTTTTTTTTTAACTGTAATTGCCCGGTACGGAAATTGCATGGTTTGATATATGTGACGTAATTGCGGAAGATTTTGTATTCACGGCGCTTTGGCAAAAAATAATACGCATTATTGAATCTTATTAATCGTCAGACGGATACTGCGGACTCACTGGCCATTCAAGCAGGTGCATAATGAAAATGTCAGATCAAGTGGGACGAGTTCCACAGTTTCCTCTTGTAGCGGATCATCTTCAAAAGTTGCCAAGGAGTCACCATCAAGACCAGTGACGCACATCCTTTTCTTTTCATAGAATGCGAATGTTATTAGTGTCATAATTAATTATGGCGGCAGTTCAGAAGAACAAAAGCCAGAGTTAGTCGGTTTTTTAATATAGGATAGCGTTTTAAAATTTTAGCAAAATTTAGCATTATGAAACTTATTATTTTTTTTTTTCATATCTGTAAATGCTAAAATATATTCCCCGAAGAAGCTATGTTAATATAATAATATATTTTTCATTAATATATCACTTGTAAAATACACACGTTTAAAAAATTCGAAATAAATCTTTATTTTTTTGTAAAGTAATACATGAGAAAGGGCCTGCCGGCTAAGAAAAATGAAAGTAAAAATTGATAGAGTAGCAGGGTTTTTCAAGGGAGGAATTGCCAAGCCCTAAACCTTATAATGGCAGTTCCTTCGGTATTATTATCTAAACTACCACTAAATTCTTTTACTATCTACCCATCTCTTAATTAATATTACTATTCTAAACTTTGGATCTCCTATGTTATAATAAAAGTTTTTCAGTTTCTTTTTCAACCTTTTCCCCAGTAAATTCACGAATTTCACGTCTCACAGTTTCAAACACATAATCCATAGTATCTCCTCTTTCTTATTCGAATTAAAAACTTGCTTAAAATGATTCCTATTTCTTCAAGAAATGAATCAGTCAATCGACTAGAAGAACTTTCGCTGGGACTTGGAATCTCAGATTTATTGGCCACGCTCAGCTAACCAAATTCAAACTAAAGTCTTTGGGTAATTGCATAATATTAGATCATTTCATTTCAGAGAGTTTTGATAGAGGCATTGAAATTAGATGAAATTTTGCCAAATTCATTACAGTAGGCAGGATCCCGGAAACTTATAATTAAACGTTCAGGTAAACTTAAAGGTAAACTTCATATAAAAAAATTCTGACACTTGTATGATATATAGGATAAAACTTGTAGGATACAAAAATCAACTCCGATTTTTTTAAGGGTAAATGATTTTGAAGTTACAGGAATAGATATGGGTAAATTCATTAATGTGTAAATAGGTAAATCAAAATAGTATATACCGCATATGGTAAATATATGTATATCACCAATAAATTGATAATTGATTTTTTATTAAATAAAAAAATATGAGCAAACAAAGTCGAAAATTTTATGTTATATCTATTTCTAAGATTTCATATATTCAAAAACTAAAATTAACTAATAAACATAAACAAGCCTCTTCGATTTTTTTTAAAAAATATTAAAACACAAACATTCTTTTAAAAATTATTGTTAATAGTAATGAAGAAGAAGAAGATTGTTTTGAAAATAATAATGATAATAAAAATAGTAATAATGATGCATATAGTTCTGTTTCTGATTATAAATTAAATGATAAATTCATTGACTACTCCCAAATACAACATATACCAAAAATAAAAAAATTGTATGTAAATTTGTAAGATATTAAGTATGATAAAATAAAAATATGACTTAAATATTTTTTCAATATTTTTAAATTTTTAAGACTTAATTAAATTATTAAAAAACTTATAAACTTAATAAAATTTATTATTAATATATAAATAAAAATGATTTTATTTTATTATTACTTATATTTTATTATTATATTTATAAAAAAAATCAATATTACAACCAGATTTTTCAAATTTTTTAATATTAAAATTTTACTAATTGTCAAAATACTAATAAATTCTTTTACTATTTCTTATTCTTTCTTATTTTCTTATTTCTTATCTCTTCATTATTTATTGAAAATAAATATATTATTATACTCTTAAATCAATTGAGCTATCTTGCTTTTAGTCTTGTTAAGAGTACACTACTGTATAAATTATAAACTTGAATCAAACTTAATTGAGTCATTACGTAAACTTAAAAGAATCACCACTTGAATACCCTATCTAACTGTTACAATTTGCAAGGATTGCACGTTAACAATATTAGGTTATTTTTACAATAATAATATTATAAGTAATAATTATGAAAAATTATTTTTTAAAAATATTTAATAATAAATATTTATTTATTTAAAAAAATTTCTTATTATATTTATATTTAATTAAAAGATTATAACTATTCAAAATAAATCTCTTTTAATGTCAAGAAAAGAAAAAGATTTTATAATTATTATTATAATTAAAGATTTAGATTTTTGAACATGACTTGAAATATTTTATTAAATTATGCATCTATATAATTATATAATAAAGTTATTTGAATCTGATAATATAATAATAACTCAAATAATAATCTTTTAGATTTAGCTTACTAGAATTCTTAAAATCTTTAATTAGCTTTATCAGAAATAAAGACTTTTTTTTATAACAAACTAAATAATTAATTGCAAAAAATTTATGATCCTATATTTATTATTTTATGAACTTTACATTTATCAAATAATTTCAACTATTTAATATATTATATAATATTAGATATATAAGAATAAGTTTATTAATTATTCAAAAAAAATTATTTAAATTATAATGTTAATACATTTTAAAAAAATGGTTAGCTTATCAAAACAAAATAGAAATTTTTAATAAGCAATCTTTTTAGATACTAATATTTATAAATAATCCTATAAAAT